TATCTATTGACATATTTTGCGTGACTAAGTTGGAAGGTGTGGGGTAATTTACCAAAACAAAATTGTTAAGCATATTATAAGATAAAATAATGATAATATTATTAGAGAGTTAATGTAACATAACTTTCTAGTAACAGTCCATTTTTTAAAAAATCACACATGAAATCAAGTCATGACTTCTGTTTTAATATATAAGATTTGACTATGTTATTGTTTATTTTGGAAATTTCATAAAAATATCTCAACAAAATTTCTTTAAGTTATTAATATTCAAAAAATTTTAATACCTAATTTAATATCTCAACTATTTATTTTGCTTATTTTAATTTTAATACATAAAAATTTATAATTTTGTCTATTTTAATACCTCAAATTTGTTTATTATAATTAAAATATTAATAAGTTTCAAATTAAAATCTCTAAACTTTACAGAAAATTCTCCTTTTATTTAAAGTAAATAAATTTTTATAATCTTAAATTTTGTAATAATTTTTTTTAACTTTTAAATATTTAATTTAGTTTTTTTCTAAAATAAACAATAAGTTAACTTATTTTCCTTCAAAAATAATTTTTTTAAACTTTTAAATCTTCTCCAGATTTTTTTATCTTCTTTCTTAAATTTGAAAATAAAATTATAAAATTTAAATATTTCTTCTTAGATTTGAGAATTTTTTGTTTAAAATTTATTAATTAAAATAAACAAAAATTGAATATTAAAATAGACATAGTTATAAGTGCTTGTGTATTAAAGTAGGTAAAATAATTATTTAGAGTATTAAATTGGATAGTGAAAAAATTTAGGTATTAAAAAAATTAACAAATTTAGTCAAAATATTTTTATGGAGTTTTTCTTTTCTTTTTTGGTAAAAATATTAAATACTAATAATATGTCAATGTTATATACTGTATTTGGCTGAACACAAATTTTATGGGAATGTCACTTTACATGATATGATCATAGGTGTGTGATCTAAATCATGCAAACCACTTTATGCCTTCTTTTGGGAAGACGTTTTCTTTGTGAAAGTAGCATATTAGATTTTGAAGACATCATCAGCCGTAATCTGGTCAAAGTTACAGTTCTGCATGTCTGTCACGTGTCTCTCTTTAATGTTGCTGTTACCTCCAGGACCTATGACAAGCCTCTACGTAATTGCCTGCGTATTTTAAAAAGCTTGTTGGGCTTTAGCTATTAACGGCCCAATCTATTTAAGGCCTGTATCATTGTATATTGACTGGCCAATCCATATCGGCCCAGTAATGGACGGGTTGATTTGGTTAAACGGACCAGCTTTATATCCCCACTCTACTAGTAGAAAAGGTCAAGTCGAACTGGGGAACTACCGTTAAGTCGCCATCCCTGACCCAAACATTTTGCCACCTAATAAGCTTTTAGCAATACATTACTTGAGAGTTCAAAGGTTGCAAGTTGTAAATGAGAGCACACCAAGTCGAAAGGATACAAACCAAGAGAGTCAGTGAAAAGCCTCAACACACGAAAACATTATTCAAACTTCTTTTTTCTTAGAGGAGGAAAGTAGGGAGAGGGAATTGCAAACTCCATGAGATGAGAAATTGAGACTGAAGAAACTGATCAAACCAAAAGACAAACCTTCCATTTAAAATTGACTAGACTATCTTCTTTCAGATGAATAAATGTTACAGAATCACTCACCATCATCACAAAATTTAAATCGGGAAATTCAGGCAGATGAACTTAAAGAATCATGAAAAATTCAGAAACAAAAATGGTCATTAACAGCCTTATCTAATTACCTACAAACCTTTTTGTGGATGGAATTATTATAAATTCTTGTGTCAACGATCGAATTAAATATAAACACAGTCGTGACAACTCATGGTAAACAACATGGGTTTGGTTTTGGATCGTGGAAGTACACACTTGATTAAAAAAACTAATTAAAAAAAGATTACTGAATACATTAAACCTAAACTTTTCAACTGCAAAAGTTATCAAAAAGAAAATAAACTTTCCATTGCAAACATTATAAAAAAAAGAAAAAGAAAACAAAACAAACTTTTCATTTGCAAATGCGCTTTTATTCAATAAAAGCGAAGAAAGACAAATGAGGAAAAAAATGACGTCGTTACTGTCACCGTCTTCTTCATCTCACCGTAGAAAACGCCGTTTCACTCACTTCTTCTACACCGTACTCGCTCTCATCCTCCTCGCCGCCTTCATCTACTGCCACGATTTCCTCTCCTTCTCCCGCCGTTCTCTTCACTCCCCGACAAAGATCCTCCACCAGCCCGAATTAGTAGTCGCCTTAAACCAGCCTCCATCTCCTCCGCCGCCACCGACACCTTCTCCTCCTCCACCTCCGGCATTTTCCGTAGGTAAATCTCCGGAAGGATGCGATGTATTCAAAGGCCATTGGGTCAAAGACAAGTCAACGCGGCCGTTATACAAAGAATCGGACTGTCCTTACATCCAACCGCAGCTCACGTGCCGCACGCATGGCCGTCTCGACACAGACTACGATTCGTGGAGATGGCAGCCTGATTCATGCTCTCTCCCCTCGTTAGTTTTCCAATTTTTAAGCTGCAACTAGATTTCAATTATTATTATTAGTTTGTTTTGATCTCTTCAGATCTGTGGTTTGTTAGGTTTGATGCGAAGATGATGCTTGAGAGCCTTAGAGGGAAGAAGATGATGTTCGTTGGAGACTCCTTGAACAGAGGAATGTACGTCTCTCTCATCTGTCTTCTCCACTCGCACATCCCTGAAAGTTCCAAATCCATGGAAACATTCGGTTCCCTCACCGTCTTTTCTCTCAAGGTAAGGGCATGATTAACCTCAGTCTTTTAGCCGATCTTAACTCATGATTTGATATTTTTATTTTTATTTTTAACATTTTCAGTTAAGAGACCGCTCTTATATCTCAGATAGTTCTTATCTTTTCTTAGTTAAAATCTAGAAAACGCTAAGAATGTCTCTTATCCGAAGCTAATAACACGTTAATGATGGTCTAACACTCTTTATAGTGGAAACGTTCTTGTTACGTTTACTGATTGTTTTTTTTTTTTTTGTTATGTGTAGGATTATAATGCAACGATTGAGTTTTACTGGGCACCGTTTCTTCTTGAATCCAATTCAGATAACGCTACTGTTCATAGAGTATCAGATCGGATTGTGAGGAGAGGATCCATTAATAAACACGGTAGGCATTGGCGTGGTGCTGATGTTGTTGTGTTTAATACTTACTTGTGGTGGAGGACTGGTTTCAAGATGAAGATCTTGTATGTAACTCTTAACTAAATCGTTGAATTGTAGAAACTTTTTTGCTTAGAGACTAGTGGGTTTTGATTTTTGATTGTTTTTTTTTGGATTTTGTTGATTTAAGGGAAGGTTCGTTCAAGGATGAGAAGAAGAGGATTGTTGAGATGGAGAGTGATGATGCTTATCGTATGGCGTTAAAGACTATGGTTAAATGGGTTAAGAAGAATATGGATCCTTTGAAGACTAGGGTGTTTTTTGCTACCATGTCCCCTACTCATTACAAGTCAGTCACTTCTTTTAAAACTTTTACTAGTCATCTAGAAAGTAGCTTACAAGAGGAATCTAGACAGGAGTTGTGTGTTTAGACTTGGTCGGAAAGTAGAAACTAGATTAGATTTTGGCGCAAGAACATCTTTTGCTTGTCTCACTGGCAAGAAAATCAAGAAGTCAGTTAAACAAAGCCTTCTTGATTTAGATTTGCTTACAAGAGGAATCTAGACAGGACTTGTGTTTTAGACATGGTCGGAAAGTAGAAACTAGATTAAATTTTGTCGCAAGAACATTCACTGGCAAGAAAAATCAAGAAGTCAGTTAACAAAAGCCTTGATTTTGAATACAAAAGGCTTCATTTTTTTCTTCTTCTTCTTCCATGATCATAGGAGCGAGGACTGGGGAGGGGAGCAAGGGAAGAACTGTTACAATCAAACGACACCGATCCAAGACATTGACCATTGGCCCTCAGACTGCAGCAAAACTTTAATGAAAGTGATCGGAGAGGAACTAGACGGGAGAAAAGACTTTCCGGTGACGGTACTGAACATTACACAACTCTCAGGGTATAGAAAAGACGCACACACGTCCATATACAAGAAGCAATGGAGCCCATTGACGAAAGAGCAGCTAGCTAATCCGGTTAGTTACTCAGATTGTATACATTGGTGCTTGCCTGGTCTTCAAGATACTTGGAATGAACTTTTCTTCGCTAAGTTATTTTATCCTTGATTCTTTTTTCTTTTAATATTCGTGATTTTATATTTGTACTTGAACTGTAATTGTAAATTATGGTTCTTTCTTTTCTGTTAATTATGTAACACTTTTGTTATAGGAAAGAGTGTGAAAGAGTTCCTCTCTGTTATCTTATATTAAACTTCAACACTTATTGATCAGTAAAAACTAGAAAGTAAACTATATTTTTCAATGCGAAAACAAAACATTAATGCCCATTTTTTTGTTGCTATTATATGATCAAATCTCGAGATTCTAATGCAGTGTTGCAGAAGCTCTCATAGATCCAGAGAACTCGAGTCGAACAACTCATGACTATGGTGTGGCTCCAGCTGAAAAGGAAGTGAGTCATAACCACCAGTGTGTACCTGGTTTTGGTTTTGGCACGGATCTTCACCAAGGAGTGCATCAATATCAAAAGAATCATCCAGATCCCAAAAACCCAGCTCGTTTTGCATATCACTAGGCCAACCATAATCCCCAACAGTAAGCATATCTGATTCCTGCTGTGGCTGTATCACTTCTTCTTGTTCCTCCTTTGGTTTCTCTAATCCGTTCGATAGTCTGCTCCAATAAGATGCATCAAACTGATTCAGGTTTGTATACGCATGTCCATGTTCATCACCACATACTTCCTTGACATCTTTAATCTCACTAACTGGTCTAGATTCTTGCTTCACACAAACATCACCACTAAGAAAAGCCTTATCTTCAACCCTACACACCTCACTCTGACTCGACGTACTAGTAAACTCAGAGCCAACACACTGTTGAGGAAAGTTAAGCCGAGCCAATGGACCATACATAGCCATAGCAGCTTCATCATAAGCAGAAGCAGCTTCTTCCGCAGTAGGGAAAGTGCCAAGCCAAAGCCTACTTACTTTGTTAGGTTCCCGAATCTCAGCAACCCATTTACCCCAAACCCTTTGTCTAACACCTCTGAAACTGGAATGAGAGTTCTGTGGTCCACCTTTACCCTTCATACAACCTTTCTTCGACCCTTTAGCAGGAGCTTTACGTTTCGGTTTCTCTCCTTGTTTTATAGAAGTGGCATTAACAAAGTCGTTGTACTCTTTCCACTTCTTTAGTCTATCAGCCACCGTTGTACCGTCTGCTCTAGTTCTTGATTTCCTCTTCCTTGATATTGTTATTGTTTGGGTTTCTGTTTGATTGTAAACAGCCATCTTCTTCTTCTCCTTAAATCTACAAGAGACCAAAAAAGCTTAGGGCTCAGATTACTCTCAAAAGTAAAGGCTTCTAAAAACAGGAAGACGACCAAATCGGAGAGAATTTATAATTATTTAAAGACAAAAGGAACTACTTAGCCACCAAGGATGTTTTCCTTGGAGACCAAGTTTGTTTTTAGTCTTTTATTTATAGAAAAAGAAAGAGGAAAAGACGAAACTGAATTTCCAATTTTGTTTTAACACCGAATCGTGGGGACCAAGCTAGTGAACCATTGTAGTTAAAAAGCGTGTAGCAAAAAAAACACCTAAACCCTAGAAAACTAAATAGAAAATCAGACGTACTTATTGGGATTGATAACTTCAAAGTTTGTTCTTCAGTGGTTAACGATCGCTTTTCCTTTTAGATGCTGTTGTTCGCGTGTGACGATCGATTTGTAGTTTGTATATCTTCTTCGCGTTGTTTATACTGTCTTCTTTTTTCTCTTTCAGATTTAAAGTTTTTATAGAAAAGGGGGTCGAGGGGTATTTATAAAGCTTCTCTGGATAAATCCTGATTTTTTTATGAGATGACTAGTCACATGTCCCAGATGTCGACACGTGACTCGATCCTCACCACGAAATACGCGCTCTCAATACGGCTAAGCAATTGAATCCTTAGAGCAAGATTATCCCTTGATCCTTAAGTGGGATCCTTAGTAATTATTTAATACTTTAAATGTATTTAAGTGGGCTTAAGAACTCTGGTTAAGAAACTCTCATTTGGAGTGGTCCAATGGGAGTTTCTTAACTAGAGATTCTTAAAAAAAAATTTAACAAAATAATCTTCTCAATAACAGATTCTTTAAAAAGATACAATATTTCACAAAATATTCTTCTTAAACGAACAAAGAGTTAACTTCAACCAAAACTAAATAAAATCTGTCAAAAAAAAACAGAACAAGAAGATAATTGTATTGAACAGCAAAGAGCATAAACGAAAACAACAAAACCTGGAAACAAAAGAATTGGTCTTCTAGTCATATATCTTCCTCACCCTCGTTCTCAGCAATGTTGAATTACCTCAACTCATAGAGGTTATGGTCCTTGTTGGCCGCAATCACTCTCAGCCAATCCCTCACGTTGTGCTTCTTCAAGTACTTCTTTGTCAAGTACTTCAAATACCTGCAAACACACAAGTAGTAAACAAAAGAGTTCAAAATTAACATTGCTTGAACACAAAAAGCAATAAAAAAAACTTTGCAATAAGTTGTTTGGATCCCTACAATCAATATCTATTAGCCTTCTATCATCTCCAGATCAAAACTTATAAGAGTATGTTGGGAGTGTATGTACCTCTTGGAGAACTGGCCATCAGAAGTGACAGTGATCTTGTTCTTCTCACGAGTGGTTGTGACAAAATCACCAAGTGCACCAGCTATACCACCGACTTTGATCCTCTCCTGAAGGAACTTCTCGAGGGAAGCAATCTCCATGATCTTGTCATCGACAGGCTTCGAGCAATCAATGGAGAAGGATAATTTTAAAAGTGATTAGAAGGAACAAAGAAAGCGTATCCTTGTAGTACCGTGACGAAATATCCTAATCTCCAAAAAATGGCTGAACCCTGGACAATTCTGAATTCCCAGTAACAAATATTCTTTAAACGAACGCAACACGAAATAAAGATAGATTACACTCCAAGCAAAAAAAAAGCATTTGGATAAGAGGTAGTAAAGTTGACGCATCCACCTAATCTGGTAATAGAAAAGTGGCTAAGATCTAGAGATTATCCATCGGTTGCAAATTATCCAATGAGACCAACCAAAAAGTCACGAGAGACCTATTAATATGATGACTCAATTAAGCTATTGGAAATCAATCATGTTTTCATATTTATAACCTCTGTAAATTCACTATCAAACCTTCCACGTAATCTAACATTTTCTTGATTTGATTAATTCTAAGCACTAAATTAGATCAGCTTAATGAAAAACAGAACAAGGAAAGAAGAAAAACATACTTCTCGTCTTTAACGGCGAGATTAAGTAGAGCAAGCAGAGCCGCCTCATGGTGCGATTCAGGAGATTCAAGTTGGAGCATCGAAACGAGCGGTTCAACAGCCTGTGAAAAGTGTCGGCTGCATCTATGCAACGTTTTTGTCAGTTGACGGATCTCTTTAGCGGAGAAGCCGAGAGACGACGTGGTGGGTTTCGATCGGAGAAGATGAAGAAACAAAAGAGAACCGAGAGTAGAGAAAAGAAAAAAAAAAAAGAAATAATCTTGGACTTTTTCCTCGCTGACACGTGGTTGTAAAAACCCCAATATATTCGATCCCAGAATCCCCAATTAAGGATCGATAACTTCCTTTATAATTATTTTTGATTTAATTTAATTACCTATTTTCTTTAAGAACCCTGTTAAGAAACAGGGATAATCATGGTCTTACCGTAGTTGATAAACCCCCACACACAACCAAAAGACATTTAATTCAATTAATTATTTGACTATGTTATTGTTTATTTCGGAAATTTCATAAAAATATCTCAATTAATTTTTTAATATTCAATTTTGGTAATTAATTTTTTAATATTCAATTTTGGTAAAAATATTAAATACTAATAATATGTCAATGTTATATACTGTATTTGGCTGAACACAAATTTTATGGGAATGTCACTTTACATGAATATGATCATATCATAGGTGTGTGTTCTAAATCATGCAAACCACTTTATGCCTTCTTTTAGGAAGACGTTTTCTTTGTGAAAGTAGCATATTAGATTTTGAAGACATCATCAGCCGTAATCTGGTCAAAGTTACAGTTCTGCATGTCTGTCACGTGTCTCTCTTTAATGTTGCTGTTACCTCCAGAACCTATGACAAGCCTCTACGTAATTGCCTGCGTATTTAAAAAGCTTGTTCGGCTTTAGCTATTAACTGGTGAATCCATATCGGCCCAGTAATGGATGGGTTTGATTTGGTTAAACCAGCTTTATATCCCACTCTACTAGTAGAAAAGGTCAAGTCGAACTGGTGCACTACCGTTAAGTCGCCATTAAGAAGCCCCTGACCCAAACATCTTGCCTCCTAATAAGCTTTTCGCAGTACATTACTTGAGAGTTAAAAGGTTGAAAGTTGAAAATGAAAGCACACCAAGTCGAAAGGATACACACCAAGAGAGTCAATGACAAGCTTCATCACACGAAAAACATTATTCAAACTTCCTTTTTTTTCCTTCAGTTTTATCAGAAAGAGGAGTCCATGAGTTTTGTTCTTTGCTCGTTGTTACCATATGCTTGCTTAGGAACTTCCATATAGTCCTTTAAGTCGAAGTATCTCTTTTCTTGACTCAAGCTGCAATAACCCCAAACAAAAAAAAGACTATTATTAGAAGCTCATGAAACAAAAGGAAGTAACAATTTACAAGTTTTACAAAAAGTTGTATTTTTACCAGATCCATCTGCAAGGAGATCATATACTCAGCTTGTTTCATCTGAGTTTCCTTCATATCTTTCACTTCTGCCCATATCTACCACAAAAAAAAAAAACAAAATAAAGATTGTTCATAAATATTTCCATTATAGAACAGAGTAAAGACCCATTAACTAATTACCTCATTCAAGACATCCATACAAAGCTTCTCTTTCTCTTCTCCATTGTCCTCAAATGAGTCTGACATGGCAGTAACGTAGGAGGACCCACAAGATGATGCATCTATATTATCCTCTTCCTCATATTCCCAAGACACCCTCTCATCTTCCCATTGATTCTGCATCATAGAAGAAGAAGAAGAAGCAAATCCTGTGTTACCCTCAAAACTCTTGTAACCATCACTATCCCTAGTATCCTCTATAATCATGTTCACTCCTTTGAGATGAGCTTGAAAGTTTGATGCAGCATCCCAATCAATCTCTGAACATGCATCCACAGCAGAAGCTCCCTTGCTTGGTCTTATTATATTCTTATCCTTAGCACAAGTCCCATTTTGTGTTGCATGGAAACTTTGTTGTTCTCTACTGTCTTGGTGTAAGGACACAACTCCTTTACTTGCTTGAGATGAAGCTTCATGTGTAGCTGAAGATTCAGCTATCGCCTTTTTAAGAACTGATGAGTAAGATGGACCAGATTGTGACACTGGTCCTTGAGCTACTTCACATTCTTTTGAGTCTTGTCCTTTGTTCTCACTTGAATCACCTGAAGATTTGAAAAGACTACTCCACTTATCAACACGTGGCGCTCCTCCTGAGTCACCTATCTCCACAAGAGAAGAAGCCGGAATAGCCTTTCTAGACGATGCAACAACATATTTGGATGTAGATGATGATGATAGTCCCTTTACATTTGGTGATGGTTTAAACAAACGTAGCAGCTTGTTAGTCTGAACTCTATCAAGTTCAAACCAAAAGATCTTCTCATCCTTGTAATTATCAGCAATTACTGGTCCAAACGTTTCTTCAGACAAAGGCTCACACTTCACTCGGACACGTACCTTCACCTGAGCAGGGTAGGGACTTGGATCTATCCCATTATGAGACCAAGCTTTGGGATCAATGTTCAACTTTCCTTCACTTGTAGCTTCAAAGACACCGTGAAGTGTTCTATCACTGTAGTTGAACAAGAACAGTGTCAAACCAGGTTCAATGTTCTTGATGTAAGCCATGTGTGGGCCTGGTAAACCTGGTTCACAAAAGAAGAATCAGTTATCAAAACATGGTTCGTCACAAAGAGTTGGATATTTACAAAACTAACCAAACAAGTTCTTAGCGAGACATTCCTTGATAGTGCTGAACTTGCATCCAAAGATAACACTGCAGAGATCTCCCTTTTGAAGTTTCCTCACAGACATAGTTCCATATAGGTTTTGGTTTTGGCCATCCTCCAGCGTATAGGTCTCTTTCTTCCTCCCTGCACCCATTGCTTCTCACCTGAAACAGAGAGAATCAAAAGAGTTTAGCTTAAAGAATAAAGCTTTTGTGAATGGTTTAACACAAGAATCATGTTATTTTCTTTACATAGTTAGTTCAAAATCTTGATTTTCTTGAAGAATTTAGCTTAAATTACATGAAAACGTCTCTGGCTAGTTAAAAGATTATGATAATTTCTCTGTTTTTTTTATAAAAAAAAAATTCTAGATCCATCACTGATCAGCAACTAACTTAAGCAAAGATCAAAAGATTTCATACACACATAAAACGAGAAACACTCAGTAAACAAACAAATTAAAAATCCATGGAAGATCTCACACGGTTCCTTACCTGAACGGATGATCTTAAGAGAGAGCGGAGAAGGAAGCAGATCCAGGATCTTCAGAGACAACAACACTTCCTGAAAATTTCAGCTTAGAAGATTTTTTTTCAAAAGAGATTGAGTGTAAGAAACTAAAGCTTTAGGGTTCTTTAAGTGTTGGCTGAGAAAGTTGAAGAGAACTTTGAAAAAAGAAGAAACTAGAGTGAAACAGTAGTAATGCTGCTATTTTTCCTAGACAAGCAAACATGGCGCGAAATAGAAATCTTTATGAGACGATTATGCCCTTTTGTGTTTTGGGATCTGATACTAAAAATAGTAAGTTGATAGGGTTCTTTTGGTAATATCCTTTGGCGAGTAAAGAAAGACGTTGCAGGTTGCAGCGGCATCATTTTGACCATCAACAAAACATCAGTTTAATACATTGCTGTGGGATGTTTATTTTTTAGAGAAAATAAATAGATTAAAACGAGTTGAATATTTCCAAATTAACTGGAAAAACAAAATTTGGTGGTCCTGCCTTGCGGATTTTAATAGGTGAAAATATTAGGCGTTTGTAGGTAAGTGATGTCATATTTAGATATAGTTCATGGGTATCATTTTCACTGGTTGTTCAGATTTTCATTTTTACCTAATCATTCAAACTAGATTATTTTATAATATAACACTTTCCTATTAGAATCAGTTATTTTGATGTTTTATTTTTTCATTATATAAATTTTAATAATAATCTTTTAACATCAAAAATTCTTTTAATTATCACTTTCGGAGCCAAACTTTCAATTATTATAAAGTTAGTTAATAATATAAATATAAATGAAAATAAACTGAAATTCTTAAAATATATATTTTTTAATTATTTTATTTGATTAGAAGCAAAATCTCTAACAACAAGTAGTTATTAAATTATAAAATATGAATAACAAGTTGTGGGGTAGAACTTTAAATTTTATTAAACAATTATTATGAACATCAATATAAAATAGATGTTAAAATTGGATGGAAAAGAAAGAAAATGGAGTGTTAAAAAGAGAAAATGAAAATGTTAACATCTAAATAAAACAAAGACTAATAAACCGTCTCTCTCAAAAGAGGCGACTGCAAGTGCGATAACGAGATTACGTCGTCACCGCCGTTTCTCGTTGCTTGATTACATCCTTTCTCTTATTGTTTCTTTGATTTATTATCTCTATACTATGAGTTCAACGACAATATCTATGATGATAGTTTCGGTGTCTCTTGCCTTGTTTGGTGAAATATCCAAA